GCCATGGCTGATGAATGAGGAATGAAGACACCAAATCCCTCTGACAAAGTCCAGCAGTGCTGCTGCTGATCAGGCTTGCTGGAAAGACTAGATGAGCTCATCCAGAAGAAAGGTGTGGGTGGGCAATTTCAGGAAAGATCCTTGGTTAGTAAAAGCACTGGGCATTTGTGTTGATGTCCCCAGTTGTGGTCAAACCAAGACACGTGGCTTGGCAACGATGTCACATGACATGAATAGATACACTGAAGCCAGAAGCTGCCAGACAGATCCTGGATTATGATGGAAGATGGGAGGGATGTGCAGTTTGAGGGTCATGTGAGTGAGAAATGAGTAATGCTTTCCAGTAGTATGCTAACACCCACCCCATCGTTGATGGGAACAAAAAAGAATCCAACTCTCCAAATATTTAAAAAGTAGTTCTCATATGTTCCTGGAAGACCTGTTTCCAAGTGAAGATCTGGAATAATAGTCTCATGTTTTGTCATGACCACAAAGTACTTTGAATCATCCAGTTGAATATAGATGACTGATTTCAATTTTAGTTCATTCTCTCAACAGTTCATTCACTGAAACACTTAGTTGATGATCTAGTCATTCTGTCACTTGGTGGCTCAGTTATTCAGTCCGTTGTTCCATTGGTGCATTGGCCATTCAGTCTTTCAGTCATTCAACAAATGATAGTTGCTTGTCTTTTTCTGTGCCTTGTTCCTGCTTGATATTAGGCAGGAATCAAGAAATAAAGGCACACATACAAGATCCACTCTCCTGGAAAACACAAAAGTTAAACAAGCAATTAAAATGAAAATGATAAATGAAGAGAATTATTACAGGAAAAGTGTGAGCCTTATGGCAAAAGTTTAGTTTGGCAGGAGCTTATACTTTTCTATTATCAAAATCTTCAGATTCTAATGGTTTAACTTCTGGGCCGTCTAAATAAATAACTCCAAATACTCCTCCATTAGAAAGAATTAGAGAGAGCGTTTGTGGTGCTCTTGCCCATGTGGCCAGGCACTGAACCAAGCTCTTTACAAAGATAACTATACTTAATCCTCCTAATAATCCTATGAGTGAGGCCTTCTAAATATCCCCATTTCACAGATGAGAAATCTGGTGCTCAAAAGAGTGATCATCTTGTCTCTAGTCATGCAGAACTAAGTGGCAGATGTAGGAGAGCCTGGTATTTCTGGTGCCACAGCTCATAATAATGACCATGAATGCTTTTGTCTCCCATTCCTGGGAACAAGAAAACCTTCACCAAACACCCCAAGGACTCAGGACTCAGGAAAGGGATTGCAGATTTCCCTAATTTACTCCTAATGAGCCAAGACCTCTGTGGTAGGGCTCATGTCTTATAAGAACAAGGACAAGGGGCCAGGGATTTAGCTCAGTGGTTTTGCCACCGGCTGTACAAGCGCAAGGACCTGAGTTCGATGCCTGGTACCAAAAAAAAAGAACAAGGACAAGAACTTGGGGTAATCAGGTCAGAGAGCATCTTGGGTGAACTATGCTCCAACCTACCAGAAAGCATGAGAAAGGTTTGCAGCTTTACTTGTAACTGTAGAAAGACCTTAGGCAATCTAATGGAGAAATTAATCAGTCTTAGGCTCATGTGTGCATGTTGGATGTAGCTAAAATAATATAAATCAAATCAGAAAGCCTAATATCCACATGATATCTTTATTTGGTTGTAAAGAAATCCATTACACATACTTTCTTTTGTTTTCAATGACAAAAAAATAAAGTGAGTTAGTCATTTTTACAAAAATAGTTCCTCTATTTTAAAAGAAAATAAATTGTTTTCTCAAAGAACATAGGCTTCTATTTTTTCCCCTCACTCCTTACGTTCCCTTCCTCCAACTCAGTACTATGTACTATGTACCTTTGGCCCAGATGGTAGATCACTTTGAGCTAATTTGGAAGTCTTCATGCTTAATGTAGAAGTGATTCACCTACAAATTGAGTAGCACCTAAGTTAGGTCAGGATGGGGACAGTTGCTAAAGGTGGCAGTGATTCAGGCTTGCCAGTGAATGACCTGTGATCACTGGAGACGATCCTGAATGGCTATGATGACTCAGGGGTCTGTATGTCTGTGAGTAATATTGGGAGCTGGCTCAGGAGCTTCTCTGGATGTCCCCCACATACTGTGTGTTGGTTCTGTGCTTATGGGGACAACTGACAATATACTGGTGAAGGTGTGACTGATCCATGTCTCTCTGTAACTTTTCTTTGGTCATTCTGCAGTTACTGCAGACTTAGTCCAAACATTAGCTTCTCCTCTAAATAGATTTCTTTACCGAACATGTCAGTCATCATGAAAGTTCTCTCCTTACCCAGACTCAAGATCAGTCAGCCTCAGAGTCCAGTTAATCTCCTCATACTTCATAATGGTACACTAGCCTTCCTTTTGCTGACAACTACATAGTACTTCTCCATTAGTATAATACTATAAATCCCAACGCCACCACTCCTGTTACTATTGATAGGCAATTCTTTGAAATATCATGTCAAAGGCACCAGGTTGAGCTCTTTGTTTTTTTGTATCTTTTATCCTCATACCAATTCTCTGTGATAGGTGCTAATTTGGATCCCACTGTTACTTGGAAAAAACTGAAGTTCAAATAAGCAGTATAACCCACCTAAGGTCACATTGGTAGTAAATTGCACTGGCATTGTCTAAACTCACCCTGTCTGGTCCTGTGCTGTTAACCCTGATATCATTGCTTCCTGTCTTCCTGACCTTTTTCATACCTTGTGTCAGCTGTGTGGTTATTTGATTAATATTGGCTGGCTGCCACTTACTCACTCATAGGAACAAGACTGCAAGGGCAGGCCACATATTTGAGCATGTGGACTTTTTACCTGACTTCCATTAAAGTCATCCACCCATAAAGAAAAACAAATCCTACCATTTATGTGAACTCAGAAGGGTGAAAGCACCAAACTTCTGGTCTCCTTCATGGCAAGTACTTGTGAGAATCTCCAGGTGGGAGAGTCTTGTTTAAGTAGCTCTTTCTCTTCATAAACATGACTTATTTCCTCTATAGTATTGTTATGGTTTATATCTGCATGTCCTCCCCAAGTCCTCTGTGCCCATAGGTGGGCCTTTTGGAAGGTGATTGGATTATGGAACTTAAAGCTGACTTGCTATTAGGAGGTGGGGTCTGGTCAGAGCTCAAAAGACAAAAATGCTGATTAAAAAAAAAAAAGCAGACAAAAAACACCAAAAGTAGGAAATTTCAGTTGGGAACAAGAACTACTTTGGCAGTTGTACTCCAGGCCATGTGTATTTTGCTCTGGCAGAAAATTTGTCTTCATTTTGCTCATAGCCTGAGATTTTGCAGGAGACTGAGACTAAAGGCAGTGAACTAATTAATCTAGTGGAGAAAATATTAAGGGACCCTAAGATTCAGGCTGTAGCATGGATACTGCTTGCTGCTTTTAGCCAGGTTTATACTGAGAACCAGGAGCAAAAAGCTCATTTAAAAAGTTTTCAGTTTTACTAGAAAGAAACTTCAGCAAATATGGAGCAGAGTAAAGCTTGGTTGGTGGAAAGAAGTCAAGTACTTTACAATAGAAAAATAGAAATGATGGCTTGAAGGCACCACAGGAATCAGCAAGACCCCTGCCTTCACCTGATGAAGGATGAAAAAGTGAAAGACTGCCTTGAGAAGACAGCTCCAGGGCACCCTGCTCAAAAAGGGCTGCCTAAGAAATTGGTTCCCCAGAATTCAGTTTACAGTGCTCAGCCATCCAGGCTATGCAGCCATGATTCAAGGGGGTCAGGGCTAACTACTGCCCAAGCTGGCAGAAGACTTTCACATCATCCACATGGTGCTGGTTTTATTGGCATACAGAATGCAAGAGTTGTCAGATCAGGGAGGCTTCCACCCAGATTCCAGATTTCAGTGTGCCTCTGAGAGGGCAGTGTGTGAAGCTGTGAGAATGAAGGTAAGAGTGCAGTGGAGACCCCAGAAAGTTGGAGAAGCCAGGAATGTGGAATTTGTAGGGAAGTCAGAAGGAGTGAGCAACATCAGCCCGAGTGAGAAGCTATAAGAGCTATAAACACAAAGAATGCTATAGGGGCAGGGAAGCCCAAGCCCTTTGGAGTTCTTATCTCATCACAACTTGCCCCAGGTATTGGACATGAAACTATGGGATTTAATGCTTGCATTGCTGGGTTTTAGTCTTCCTTTGGTCCCATTGCTTTCTATCCACCTATTTTATACTTCTGGAATGGGGAATCTACTCTATACCATTATATGTTGACAATGTTTAACTTTCTTTTTGATTTACAGGGGCTCACAGCTGAGAGTTTGCTTTAAGTCTCAGAGGAGACTTTAGACTTGGACTTTTCAGCAGTGGTGAAACTGTTAAGACTTTGGTGACTTTTAGAGATGGACTAAATGTACTTTACATAAAGAGTTGCACATGAGTATTTTGGGGGCCGGGGGTGGTATGTTATGATTTATATCTGAATATCACCCCAAATCCTTCTGAGCTTATAGTCAGGGAAGGTTATTAGGTGATTGGATTATAGGGCCTTTACAGCTTCCTTGCTGTTAGTAGGTGAGTCTGGTCTGAAGAGGCAGGTCACTGTGGGTGTGACCTGGAAAGCTATGTCTCTCTTCCCAGTTCCTCCTTTGATTCTCTGTGCTTCTTGTCTCCATGCCATGAGCAGCTGTCCTCTGCTGTGCCCTGATGCCATTCTGTTTCTTCTTGGGAGCTGGGTGACCCTGGACTGAAATGTGAGGGAAAATAAATCTCTCCTCATATGTTGTGGGTGTGAGGTGTTTGTCCCAGCAACAAGAAAGTGACTGAGACAGGTACTATAATTTTACTTCTTCTAGTGAGGACCTCAGTTAGTTCTTTCTAGGAATAGTCTGAGAGCATCAGCAAAGTTATTTGTGCAAACTTTATTTCTCCAGGTTGAATAACCCTGACCTCAGGCTGAGGAGGACCCAGTGTATGTCAAAGTTGAAATTCATCCCCTTGTTTCCAGTTTTACAGGTCCTCCAGGAATTGGCAACTACTAGTATTACCAGTGGACACAGGCAAGAGTGGCTCCAATCCTAGGGACTATGGCCATCTACCTCTTCTAAGCCAGACTTCAAGTACCATGAATTCCAGAATTCTCTGCTCAGAAGGTCTTAATTTCAATTCCAGAACAGTTTGGGTCTGGAGTTCATTCTCCTCCAATGATGGACCTCAAAACAGTTCACCCCAAGACCAAAGGAATAACTAAGAGCTGGCAGTTTATTGGTAACAGATGGAGTTTGAGCAAGATCCACTGAGGTATGAGACAGATAGGAAGGGGAAGAGAAAATGGAGAGAAACCAGGAACCACAGAGGAGCCCAAGAATGTAGAATTCAAATCTGAACTTCCAAGTTGTTTTGAAAACATTTGTCATGGTAGGAAGATAGAACATATTTTTATTCAGCCGTGTGTTAGGTTTTATAACTTTTACATATTTAGACATATGTGTGCTTCCACTTATATATTTTTTGGGTCCCTAAAGAGGTAGGGTTAGGCCTATTAGCTGCCAGTAAGGCAATCAGCTGTCCTGAATTATCTGAGACTAAGGGCTTTTCCAAGGATGCAACATTTACAGTGTTAATGAAGAAAGCTTAGACAAACCAGAATGGGTTCAATTCATCTCTCTAGATTACCCACTGTTAATAATATAGTGGTTGCTATTGATTTGTATATCTAAACATAAGTTAGAATCCTTCTTTCTAGGGCAAAAGAAGAACTTCTATTTTTTTTCACCATAATATACTAGAAATTCCATTTAATGACAGTTCAACTGTCAGAGTTAGGAGATAATTAAAGGTCATTTAGGGATGAACAGGCCTTCCATCTCCAGAGAAGAATGACAACTAGTAGCAGTGGCCTCTGTGAAATTGCCACCAAATTCAACAATGAGCATTTATCAGCCACTAGAAGAAGTCTCATCAAAATTACTGATGGAAGTCAAAATAGATTTCTACACCTTGGACTGTCTTTTTCCTCCAAAAATAAAGAGACTGGGACAGTCCCATGTGGCATTATTCCTAAAAATCCCCATGACTTTGCTACACTTGTCTACTGTGCCTATTTTTCAGCATATGGATAAGAAAGGGCTGGGGATATTCTGGGGTATTTGGTAAGAGCAAAACGATGGGATGGAAACATTTTTAACCAGGCAATTCTCTGGGCAAAATTGAGAAGTAGAATTTAACCTCTCCCATGAAGTTGTTCCTATTTTTGCCACTATCTTGTTTCCTGAGCTTCCCATTTGTTAATTCACTCAAACACTCATTCATTCATTCATTTGTTCCTTCAGCAAATGAAAGAAGAGTAGCAATATTACAAGAAAAAGGGTTAGAGTTAGAACAAAGGTCCTGTGGCAGGAATACATTTGATTGAAGACCTGAAAGCAGACCAGAGAATGGGCTGGATAAGGAGGAAGGTAGAACAAGATGGGGTCTGAAAACCAGGCAGGGCCCAGATCACATAGAACCCTATCATTATTTAGTTGCCCCTCAAAAGTCTCATGTGTCTAGAGGTATAACTTTCAGGAGATGATTTGATCATGAGTGCACTAACCTCACCAGTGGATGAATCCATTATTGAGTTCATAGCTGAATGAGCTATTTGTTAGAGGTGGATCTCAGCTGGAGAAAGCAGATCACTGGAGGGATGTTTTCAAAGGATATATATTGTTTCTGACTCCTTCTTGGCCCCTCTGCCTCCTTTCTGTAATGAGACGAGAAGCTTTTCTCTGCCATTCCGTTCTGCTGTGATGCTTCTGCCTTGGGGCCAGCCAACTATGGACCGAAACCTTTGAAACCATGAGCCAAAATAAGCATTTTGACCTAGTCATAAAAGCTGGCTAATACCAACCCTCTGAGCCACAGTAAAGATTTTAGGTCTTTATTAAGTACAGTGGAAAAGCAGTATGGTAAGCTGAGTAAAGATCCCCCTAAAATATCCACATCTGAATCCCTGAAAAAATGTAAATATTATATGATAGAACCTCACTTTGCAGTTGTGATTAAGTTAGGAACCCTGAGATGTGGGCCCTAAATGCAATCACATTACATCCCTATAGGAGGGAAAGTTGACATGGACAGAAAAGAAGGTCATGTGACCATGAAGTTGGAGGTTGGAGCCATGTGGCCACAAGCCAACAAATGCTGGCAACTTCTAGAAATCAGAAGGGCCAAGGAAGATTCTCTACTCTAGAACCTCCAGAAGAAGCCTATCGATTTCAGACCACTCACTGATTTTGGACTTCCAGCCTCTAGAACAGGGACACAATAAATTGCGGTTGTTTTAAGTCACTATGATTGTAGTCATTTGCTACAGTAGCCAAAGGAAACTGATAAAGGCAGTGATTAGAGTTAGATTAAGATATGACAGGGCCAATGATTTAGTTCAGTGGTGCCACCACCTGCCTCACAAGCAGAAGGTCCTGAGTTTGATCCCTGGTACCAAAAAAAGAAAAAAAAAAAAGATATGACATGATCTGATTTCTGCATTTCAGTGACTGCTTTTAGTGACTGCTTTGTGGAGTAGAGGCCAGATGGGATGGAATAGAAGCAGAGATACCACCTTGGAAGTTTTGCAGGCCTGCCAGACCAGATGTGATGTAATTGAGGGGTGGGGGTGGGGGGAAGATATGGAGGATATTCTTTGGGCATAGATTGTCATCAAGGAAAACAGGCTCTGAAAAGTCACCAACAACTTAATTTGACGGTATGTGTGCTTTCTCATACAGAAAAAAAATATTTTTAAAAAATATAGACCATAGTATGAACCTAGTGGTGAGATTTTAGGCTGTATCCTATCCCACATGATGGGTTGTGGGACTAGGGAGTTTCCTAGAACACACCCTATTCTGCTCCTCAGCAGAACACCTGCTCTGCTTGTAAGCTGTCACAAATCCTTTTAAAGAAGAAGATAGATTGCAAATAGACTGATGATATTCTCTATGCCCTCTCAAAAGAAATTTTTGTGGTACTCTTGAGTATGAAGAGATATGAAAATGTAGTTTAGATGCTATAGTATTAACATTCTTAGGATATCTCAAAGGCTTCCTATATGGTTACCAAACTTCAACATATGTCTAATTCATCTAGGGAGTAGAAATTATACAAATCTGAGAACAGTAGCTTCAGAAATTCTGATCCAATAAGTCAGGCATTGTCAAAGACAATGCTTCTCAAACTTGAATCAATTGGAGAGCTGGATAACATGCTCATTCTCATTCAGCTAGGTGGATATAGCCTGAGATTCTGTGTTTCTGAAGAGCTCCTGATAAGCTCCTGGTGATGTTTGTACCATTGTTCCCTGGATCTTTGAGCTATTGGTCCCTGGATAACATGTGGAGTAGCAACGTTCCTAGGGATTATTTCCAGAGCTTTAAGCCCCATACATCAAGGATGAGCCTGACTCTAGTTTGACTGTGATGCCACATGTGTCAGAAGACAAAGGCAGCCCTCTACATGTTACCAAGTTCTCTTGTGTGATGGCCCAGCTGTGGTCTTTGTTCAGCAGAGCCTTTTCCTCTCAAAACCAGGGACACTTTGCATTCTCTGTTGCTGAGCTTATCAGTGTTTCCCTGCCCAACCCAACAAAGTCCAGCTTCCCAGACTGGGTTAGAAGGAAGCTGAGACTTGTCAGACACACCTCTTCTGAGAGTGCCAGTCATGGGCAAGATGACTTCCTCAGCTCAGCAGTGTCTGTCTTGCTTAGGATCCCATGAAGGCTGGCACACCACAGTTGGCCTGCTGCTTCTAACACATGATCCTGGCCATGCTGTGCTCTCGGGTCAAACCTGGCCTGGCCCCCATGGCCCTCCGGAGAAGGTCAAGTTCATTGGCTTATCCATTTCCATCTCCAACTTTTGACATCTGCAACATACTAGTATGGAACCACTTTGAGGTCCTTGATTTAGTGTCTTCTCTCCAGGCCCAAGGATTCACTGCTGATTCAGAAGCCATTCTTATCTTCTAGAGAAAGATTTGCATGATGAGGACAGGGAGAAACAAGATTGAAGAGGCAATACAACTTAGTGGCTAAGAGGGCAGGCACTGACATCAAGTCTCAGCCTAGTCATACCTCAGCTGTTGACCTTGGACTGTCTCTACACCTCAGCTTTGTCACCCCTGAAATGGGGAAAAGAAAGCCTTTCTTTCAGGGCTGTTGAAAAGGTTCACTGAGATCATATATCTGAAAGTCTTAACTTTGTACCAGGAATATACTGGACATTCAGATTAGCAACTGGTAACCATCCGTCACTGTCTTCCCTCTCCCTCTTCCTGTCTTTTTCACTTCTTGTTTTGCTCTTATTCTCAGGATCTTGGTGGAACTTCAAAGAGGTACAATTCTTGGCATTTTCTCTAAGTGAAATTCAATGAGAGCAGGAAGTATTGTTTGTATGCCAGAGACTGCTTTTTGAAAATTGACCAATAGGGGAGATTTTGGACTGTCCACTTAACTGCATTATCAGAAGCACTTTAAAAGGAAATGAATGGAAATGCTCATTATTCCAGCCATTAGTCCATACTTGGACCAAATAGGAATCTCTAGGTCCAAACATTTCCCCTGTAAAGCTTTGTTTACCTTGGAAACCAACATCAACACAATTCGGTTTCAGTATCAACAACAAGGTAAAGTTAGAAGTCCAGGACTATGGAAGCCTATATATCTGGTGTCCAGGGTCACAGTTAACACCTTCCTTTCTACACTGGGAAAGATTGTTTTGTTGTAGGAACTCAGGGGACATTGTAGAGTTGATTCATTTGATTAAATAATCAAGGACTGGCATTCGATTCCAGATATAGTTATTAGTAGAATTACTGGGGACACTCCTTGACTTAGAGCAAATAAAATCCAAAAATGAATATTTCCTGAAATCTAGCCACCCTTGCTCCCAGTCGGATGAGCCACCATTTGGCTGTGGGTCACACTAAGATGAAAAGATATAGACTGCAGCTGGAGTCATTCATCCACTCTACAGATATTTTCTAAGTACCTAGTAGTTATCAACCACTGTTCTAGACAGTGGTAATGGGGCTGTGAATAAAATACAAAAAAATTCCTTTCATGGGGCCCAACTTCCTGTTAGAGTACATCTTTTATCTTATAAATTATCTACTTGTCTCAGATTGAATTCAGAAACATACAGGATTCCAGGTCTGGGGAATGGTGGTAGAAAGGAACTTGAAATATCTCTACTGTTAGTTCACTGTCTTTCTTAGGGTTCCATGCTCCTCTGGGAGTATTTCAGAAGCTATGATGTGCCTGTATTCAAGCTGTGTAGGCCTTCTCCTTCCATTTCAGAGTTCATCCTCTCTGCCCCACACCCAGATTCAAGCCCCAGGTCAAAACCTCTGTCATCTTGGAAATGTTTCTCGGCATCCTGTCTAAAAGGCATGGATTTCCTGTTTTTTAAAGACGAGGGACTTGCTGCCTCTCTAGAAGCTCATTGTATCCTAGGGCCCTGTCCTTAGGATTTCTTGTCCTGTCTTGTTTCTTGATTTTAGTAATAAGAACAGATACTACACTTGATCTTAGCCAAAAGGCTGAGAAGCTATATTGTTCCTTGATTTTAAACCCTGAGTCTGAGATCTGATGCAAGTGGGCCTGGCACCTTGTTCTCTAGTGTTCTTCCTTTTTCTTGAAGATACAGAGAGAAGGTTCCACCTCTCCCAACCCTGAAAGCCCAGCTTTTGAGGATGTGATGGGCTTAGTGGCTATCCTTTTCCCTGAAAGGGAAAGACTTCAGTAATATTTCTTTCCCCCATCTATAAAGATACTGAGCTAGGCCTCCTTAATCCCCACCACCCTCTGTTTACCTTCTTATCTGAAAATATTACTGAATTTGCCAATTTGCCAAAGGAAACAGAGACATGTTTTTAAGGCTGGTCACTGGCTTTTTGAGCCTGCTAGTGTTTATAAGGTTTAAATGGCTCCTCTGTTCCTTGTGTCACGTGGGAAGAAAAAAGTAAACTCTTCCCTACAGCCTGGTGGAAGGCCAGTGTCCACTGGGCTCCTGCACAGGCTGTTGAGAGGCAGAGTGCAAAGCAGGTGAAGCACTTTGAAGGCACAGGGCCCGGACCAGACACGGAAGGGAAAGAGAAGAACCAGTATTCATTGAAGTGTCTCCCAGGGATCATGGTTGCAGGCTGCGTGTTTTAGGGGAATAACTGGGTCTTGTTCTCTGTTAGACAGGAATCTTGCCACTTCTTAAAGCGTGGGCCCCAGGAGAGTGGTGGTACTGTATTTATCCATAAAATCAGCTGAGTCACAAAGTAGTAGGGGTGGTCAGAGTAAAAGTGTTTTATTTTCTTTAAAGCACTGCAAGCTGTTTGGAAGCTGTATGTGCAGTAACAACCACCACCCATAGCTGCCTGTGACTATGAGCCCACTGTGTACTGCAGAGCTGTGGAGGAGCTCACCATGTGCTCTCACCACACCCCTGCCAAGAAGGAACTATTGCTGTTATCCGTCCTCCCTCAGCTTCACAAAACTAAGTTAATAATGAGTTTTGGTTCATCCACGCCCTACAGATGCCATATTTTAACAATGTGAAGAACACTCATGACCTCAAATTTAAACAGCAGCTCAGACTTTGACAATAACTGACATCTGATCATATAACTCTCTCCTCCATCTCATTTCTGCCACCCATTAGAGGTAGCCATTGTTCTGCCTTTTTAAAAATATAATTTATTGCACTCA